TCAGAATAACATTAGCAGTAAAGGAAGACTCGATTTGCCAAGCCTGTCAGTACAAGTATTTGCTAATTCAATAAACGAATTTGATTTAAATTTAATTAAATTCTAATATGTATTACTAGTAAATTATCAAGTCAGGGATTTCGTTACCACAAAAAACTTATTTTAAAAGGTTACCAAATCAAAACTGTAATTAAATCTTTGTATATCGTTTCATTGGTATAAATATTGATTTTGTTATCAGAAAATTAAAAACATACCAAATATTATTGTTATACACATATGTACTTTCACGGTACTACAATCTGTCGATACCTATATTTTGGCATTGCACAAGGTTATCTTTTTCTCCGTTTGTTAATGACTTCTTAACACTAAATCTATTGGATGTTGGATGTGTACAGATTGATATTTTAGTCTGAAATACATAACTTTTTTGTTACTTGTAGGCTTTGAACTAACTGTCAGTAACTACGAGTACTCTCAAATCTGTACTTAGTGTCTTTTTTGTTGTAAGGGATGAGGGAATGGACAAATACCCTGCCACGTCCGTTCTGTGTTTTCGTTTGATGTTTTTCTGCTCTGTGTCGATCTGATGAGCTAAGCCTTTTTCAACTGATTTTTATAGTTTGTTCTTATGTTGTGAAACCACTATTTCAGGTTAGGGATAAGTTGAGCGGTAACAAACAAGTTTAACCCCGCCACATTATTTATATGCCTGTCAGGAAGTCAGGAAGGAGCCTGTAGTTTAGTTGCTGTCGTTGGTTCATGTCTGTCATATTTGTTTTTCGTAAATTGTTTTGGTATTAATTAGGCCGTTACTTTTCTCAGCTGAATTGTTTAATGTTTTTCATGTCGGAACCTCTATAGACGACTATACGGTATGGGATTTTCTCATTATTGAAGGCCGAACGGTTGCCTATAATTGCCTACATCCCATTCATTTGAAATTTGGTAGATAATTGTCTGATTGGCAATCATACCACATCTCTTTAAGTTTATATGTACGGCCCATAAAGAACAACTAACGTAAGATGACTAAGCTAGGACATTGTATACACACTCGAATGCATACGGTCTGAACATACGAATACACAATTTTTATATGGTTTTGAACAAACCCCTCCTATTTGACTTGATACTTAATTAATATAGATGATTGACTGATACCTTTGGTATACAAGAGAATTGCATATTTTGTTAATTAATTTTTACTTCATGTTTACTTTAAATTAGTCTGGGTATTCTTTTATTATTATTTGTGTCTATAACGTGTGTATATATGGATACATTCATTGTTAATGAACAGTACTAGGCCTGAATAAATTATTATAACAATGGATCCAAACTTAAGTAAAACGGTTTTAAAATGATACATAAAAAATCAATTGAATATCACTACTTTATTTTCATTCAAAGACATTCAATATTTAGGCTTAGCAAAAATTACAAACCGACAAAAAATGTTTGAAAGAAAGCGATTTAAAATAAATATCTTATGAAGGTAGTCTGTGGAGAAATCAAATCGATTTATGAAAAGTATAATTCATTTGATATGGATGATAGTTGATATTACAATTTTCCGAACGTTAATTCAAGTCTACGACAAATCAAATTTTGACAGTCAGATGTGGTAAAACAGTGTTAAGTTGGCATGATTGCCTTAGTCTTAATATTCATAAAATAAAAGTAATATGGTGTGATAAAAAATATTTGAGTTGACATGATTGCCTGGGTCTCGCTAATCATAAAACAAATGAGAAAAAATATGTCAGACTTTATTATGCATATGACTTAAAAAATTGTATTCCGATATATATTTTACGTACGTTTATTATTTACAGCTTTGTTTGATAGTTTTGATTGTGGTATTCCTATCTCACAGTGGTTGCATATCACCAGCACTAGATCTAGATCAGCCGGAATATTTTTTTGTTATTAAAAATGAAGGTAATTGAAGATCAATTGATAGGTGTTTATGAACAGTATTATTACACATTTATGTGAATAATAAAAAATATTATTATGACTACATTACAAAGTTGCAATACTATGATTTTTTATCCACGCCTTTTATGAAGATAAAAGAAATTCGATTAAAGACTTCGATATGAGGCATTCATTCTCTTTACGAATAATATATATTCTTTGTGACCAGATAGGTATAATACGTTTATGTGATATCGATTATATGCGTTTGTTTTGCAGTATATGCATTAATTGTTATACATGACTTTATAATAGGAATTTAACCCAAAATATCGTTTTAGGTCAATCGCATTTCTAAAAAACAGCTTTTTCCATGTCCTTCATTTTCCATGTTTTCACCAAAAGTTAAAACCAAATTGAACAATAGTACTTCAGCTGTTGTTCCGAGTTTTTTTGTCTTTTAATTCAACACAAAATCTTTTTACCATACGATATATTTTGATATTTCACCAGATATTGCTTGTATTAAAAACTTGTTATACATGTACTCATCTTGTCACGTGCTGACGAACGATAAGTTGTATGTTCAAATAAATATCATTAAAAAGTCTATATATGAAAAACATCGTGATCTATATATAAATATCGGTATGTGTAGATATATGTGTGGACATTAGACGTGTTGGTTTTAGTTCCAATGAATTAAGAACAAAACGTGTTTCCTCTCAGCATATGACTATTATTGAAAGCATGATAATCTATTCGAATAAAAGTTAACGACGCATAAACAAAAAAAATAAGAAATTATTTAAGTTAATTACACCTTATGTAAGAATCCTGGGTTTTGATTGGTTGACAGCCAGTGTATTTTTCACCAATTTACTGTTATCAAATGAATATCGTTCATTTTTTAACGCCGCCGGGGTATATGCAAAAAGGATATGCCTTTTTTACCCTCTCTGCCATGGTATTTGCCAAAAAATACTCTATCCGACTGGACGCTTGTAACGTCACGATCATCAATGCGTTTTTGAACGTTAACATTCGGTGTAATTAAACAGATATAGCATGTTCTTGAGGGGTATTTGCGAAAAAAACCATTCTTGAGAATGAATTTCCCTCGCCTTACGGCTCGCGAAATTTAACATTCTCTCGACTGGTATTTTCGCAAATACCCCTCCGTAACATAATATATCTGTTTAATATTCAGCACAACAGAAGAGGAACATGCAAACACTAAAATGTATTGTTCTCTAATCATAAATAATACTGAAGATTATCGTTAAGATGAAAAAAGGTTTCATTAAAACTTCTTTAAGACAAAACTCATTAATATACCAGTTGTAAAACGAAACTATTCGGTTGTGCACGACAACCTCCGTCGTATAGTCGGTACATTAATAAACAAATAGAATAAGTAAACACAAGTTTGATATTCTAGTTTATGCTTACATCTGCATTCATCACATGTCTAATTGGATGCATCGAAGAATATCTTTTCATGCAATATGTAAAGGTTTAAAATTGGTGTTTTGAGGGAAGAAATTCTGAATAATTCTTTACGTTTTCATTTTATACCTTTGGAAGTGAATTTATCCTCATTAAAGACTTGAATCGATGCCTGAAATTGGCATAGGGTTAAGTGTATTTGTGAAGGTTTTACGGTAATATTTAGGAAAATCTGTTTCGTTTTGTTTAAAAGATTATTTTGCTGGTGTTTTATACATTGTAAGCTAGTATTCACACGTCATTTTTTCTTTTGTATAATCAACATTAAACATATTTGCAATTAAAAAATTTATGTTAATCATTGTCACCAGATTGGTTATGTCATTTATAAAACCTAGTAGTCTATTAATATGACACAATGTCACATACTTAACTATTATTTATTATAAATATTTTGTAAGTCTAAATATTTTGTAAAAATAAATCTGTTTACTCTTCTGCCATTAATGAATTTATACTTCACGTTTTCTATAGGCTAAACATATAAAAATAGAATATACAGATTTCTATATGTAATCATGAGAAATAGCTTACTTCAAATTCAATTTAAAAAACACTTTATCTTTTTCTTAATGTGTGACGAATTATCATTTCAAAGTATGATCCTGTGAATACATTATTTCCTGACATTAAAGACATTAAACGTACAAATAACTTACCTAGAATCTAAAATCCAAATGAACACTATAGCTTTGAGTGATGTAAACCATGTTACAAATATACACAAATATACACTTTTAATGTTGAGTATTGGCGAATGCACAGTTGACTTCAATGACAACTTGTATGCGTTTTCTTATCGGACAAAAACATATTATTTATTAGTGCATTTGTATATTAAGTTTAAGCCTGACACTGAAATAAATAATGGTTTAAAGGCGGTTAAGGGAAAACCAAATAAGAGAATTGGACTAGTCTGTTTAGGTCTCATTTTCACGTAAGACCGGTCATTTTGTTGTTAAAATTTGTAATTTCAATCTCGATTTTTCTCAATTCCAAGTTGAGATTTCTCGTTTCTTGGTAATGAAAAATGCCAAATTGAAATCGAGGAATGTCAATGTCGAATTAACAAAATATGAACCTGGAATTATAAATGTCAAGGATGAAGTGAAAAATGTCAAGTTGGCAGCAAGACATGAGAAGTTTTACAAATAGAATGTCCATACTAGTCTTTCATTACTTTAAATGGACAGACCTTTACAATAGGCAATTTCAGTTATATTTTTGTCAGTATACAATACATATGTTTTGCGAGCGTCTCGCATACTAGTTATATTAAGTTATATATCACAAAAAAACTTATTTTAATTATTTAATATTTTTACCAAACAGGACCGCGTCTATCTGTATCCACTGATTACGATTGCATTTTGTTGATGTTTAATATCATCAGCACACATTGCGTAATATGAATTCATGATTTTGTTTTGTTTTCTAAAGCTACTCTAGTATCTGATGCAGGGACTGGTATAATAGGTGATACAGGGACTGGCTTTTCAGCTCTTGCAGGTCTTTTACCTCTTTTACTACTTGTATCCTTTCTACTTGTTGTCGAACCAGCAGCTATGGCTGCACCAGCAACTGCACCAGCACCTGCACCGGCACCCGTACCACCTCCTGTGCCAATGGCACCAGTTTCAACTGTAGCACCGCAACTCCCACCCACAACTAGTAAGTATAGTTTACAACACTCAATTCTACCTGTTCATGTTTTAGTCAGAAAGAATCCTTCAAGAATATAAAATGAGTATACCGCCCTCAAATAAGCTTACATTCCTGTCGGTTGTACGTTGACGTATAGTTATTATTATATACTTAATAGTAAATACAGATAAATTGTATGTGTAATACAATCATTGGCAAGCGTGCTGTATCAGCCACCCGTGATGATATCGATATCAGCACGGTTGCAAAGGCTTTTACACCTTTAATCTGTATGACGTCACGTCATCGATTGCAGTCACTGTTGCAAAGGCTTTATCAAACCCCTAATCTGTATGACGTCATGTCAAACCTATAATCTGTATGACGTCATTTCAAACCTCCTTATCTGTATGACGTCATGTCACATAAAAAACATCTACGTGAGGTATAAGTATATAATAAAGTGTATATGATATGGCTTTTTCAATATCACATACAGTATCAACCCTCAACCAATATAATCCCTCGAGCAGAGCTCTTGGGAATATATTGGTGTCTCGGGTTGATACGGATGAGATATTTAAAAAGCCATATGATATTCTCTATTTACATTCCCTTCCTAAAGTCGATCGTGAATAGTTGTCTGGCGTACACAATTTTAATCCCAGTATCTATGATGAGTTTATTTGTAATCTGACTGACCCTTTTAAGCTCGAAATTTCTGTGATGCATTGATGCTTATAATATCAATCTCATTACGCATTAATCAACAGCATAAAATAATTATACTTACTGTTATAGAAGCTTAAAATTACATTCTCAAAATACGGCGTTCAAATAACACCCAGTGCGTATACTATTTCAATTAAATGCAAAGACCAACATTTCAGAAATATAATCGTAACAAGTTCCATCACTAACTTCCCGTAAACTTGTTCGTTAAAATGTAAAACAAAACACATTGATATATGTCTACCTTATATCATAGATAGTCAGCCAGATTTGTTACAAATGTTTGGAAGGTTTGGTGTTATAAAAATAGTCATAATTAATTTGACCCTTCTCTGACGTAGTCAAATAACAACCATGGTAATTCTCATGGCTTTCTGATGGAGGCAAAACCTGTCCACAATTAGCAAGTAGATGTCATGAAAGCAGCCAACTTCTCATTTTTGTTTCAATTTTTGCTAATCGAAAAATAGCAAAAATTGAAACAAAAATGAAAAGTTGGCTGCTTTCATGACAAAAGCTTGTTTAAAAGTTGAAATAAAATTGCGAAGTCCTATGACAACGTAGATTTTAAACAAGATTTGAGAAAATTGAATAGTTGATAATTATTTATTTATTTATTTCCAATGATGATATGCAATTTTGTTAATAACTTTAACTCTTATCTTTTCTTTTTCCTGTTTTTTTACAAATGCACAAATCACTTCAGACATCAGAGAGTTTGAATTTTAATCTGAAGAACAATTAGCTGGTCAAAAAATGCAATAATAATTGAGAAGATTTCAGAAACACAATCATTAGAAGCAACTTGGCAAAATTACTTCTTACTTATATTGATGTAATCGTGACCTACCAATGGTTGTTATCGAAAGAAACTGCGTTTTTGGACCCAGGCGCATACTTTGCAATGAAACCTTACACGTTAACTTTTTCTCTCTTCTGTTCTCTTTTTCTTTTTATTATCTTACTTTTCATTCTTTATGTTCTTTTGCTTTTCAATTTTTAACTGGTGTGTAAACTAAATATATCCATGCGTAAAATGTATATCAATGCTATCCCATATCGAGTGAAAATATTGTTGATGACTGCAAATATTTGTATTTCTTTATAAAATATGAATTCATCTGGATACCAATGTTGCCTTGATGGCGTTCTGCAACCTATGATCATGGTCATACATACATAACGTAATGGTGTTTTTTTATTGCAATTGTTTAAAATATTTTAACCCAAATGTATTTTTTCATTTAAATAGCACCATGTGTTCCACAAAGTTGCCCTTCAGGGTACAGGTTGTTAGACAACCAAATGGTTAGTACTAATTGTTACTTCTATAGTGGAACTGATGAAAGAAACTGGCAAGAAGCGTTGGTGAGTATGTTCATTAATCACAATTTGCTTCGAAAACTAATAAGAATCAAAACCCGCGTTTTACATAAAATTGATCAGTGAGAAGAATATAATATAGTAAAATAAAGACATGTGTGAGATTATTATCAGATTAAATTACGGAAATCTTGATATCTGACTTAGGTTATGTTGTACGCTACCTGTTCATTAAGCGCTTCGATAAAGACTGTATACAAAACTTAAAATTTTTCGAAGTGCTAAAGATTTTCTTCATTAGGAGTAGATTACCTTACCTGTATTTGACAAAATATTTCGGAAATTTGGGTCCTCAATGCTTTTCAATATCGTACTTTATTTGGTCTTTTTTAATACAAGCGTCACTGGTGAATCTTTTGTAGAAAATATACACTTATGGCGTACAATATTTTAATCCTGGTATCTATTCTGAGGTTTTTTACACGATTTTGAGTACGAAGAATGGCAGCTTTCAATCCCTATCGTTTTACATGTAGTTGTATCTTTTAATGTGTTTAGCTAAGCTCCAAAACATTATACATTATTTGATCTGATTCATTAATAACTAGTACTTACACGTTAAGAACAATTTGCTCAATAACAAATTATCTATGTATACACACACAACATCATAAAATAAAATGGTAGAATGGTATTTATGTCATCTTACTCAGGTGAATTGTCTCAGTACACCAGGTGCCTACCTTTGGAGTCCAAACACTGAAGATGAAGCCAATGCAGTAAGAAATGAATTTACAATTCGTAAGTTGAGAGTGTATTATTAATTCTTTTTTTGTATTGAAGTTATTTAAAAGGAACTAAAGACATATTTTTTTCTTATCCATGCACCCTATTTACTTATATTAAGTTATTGTGAAATAACCGATGAATAAAGAGTCAATGATACAGAATATGTCCTTTTTAATTTAAGGTATATGTACACAGTGCAGTTTATATTTCGTTTGTGGTGTCCTGATGTGCTGTCGTAAATTCAAGGGAGGTGTCCGTTGTTATTCTGCGGTTTACATGTAGTAAAGTACTTTTATATTATTAATGTATGTATTTCTCTGTTCTGAGTGTTCTTGTGTTTGTTTGTACTGTATTCCTGTCACGTAGTGTTGTCATTTTAGCGGTATTTTTAACATTGCCGTATAAGCGGGAGGTTTGGTTAGCCATAAAACCAGTTTCAACCCACCCGTTTTTCTTAAAATGTCCTGTACCATGTCAGGAATATGACAATTGTTATCAGACAGTCCGTTTCTATATATGATGGCGTTTGCTTTTGTTGTATTTCAGTATTTCTGTTGTTCCGTTGTTTTCCTCTTATAGTTGATGTGTTTCCCTTGGTTTTAGTTTTCACTTATAATAATCGAGTTATGACTATTGAACACCGGTATACTACTGTTGCCTTTATATGTACATATATTTCACACGGAAAACTATATACAAAGATTTACGACAAGAGCGATATATATTTTTTTTGGGGGTTCCCGATTTTTAATTTTCACTTTTGGATGGTGATGTTTCTTGAATTTTTTAGTCAGTTTTGTTATATGCCTGTGATGTATTTTACACAGTGTAGGCTGCTGGATCTCTATTATTGTCACATTAACTCATTATGTCTATTTGGGTTGCTCACCCAATTTTGTCAATGTGACGAACTATAAACAGCTGCCATACTGTAGGAGTCTTAGCTAGCTATCAAACCAGTTTTAACCACCATTTTCTCCGAAAAATGCTTGTACGAAGTCAGGATTATGAGAGTTATTTTTTCACTTGTTCCGTTGATTGATAACGTTTGAGTTTGTCAGTGTTTTTGGACTTCCCCTTTTTCAATTTGCGTTGGAGTTCGGTATTTTTGTTATACGTTTTACCCCCTTCTTGCAGTGTATATATTTCACAACTTGTTCGCTATGATCGTGTCTTTAGTTGCGTTTATATGTCAAAGAACGTCATTTATGTATAACTGATAAATTATTGAGTCAGGGATTGCTTTTCCGCAAATTTGTTAAGACCTTTACCAAAGTGTTTCATAAATATAAAGATTGAGTTCGGCTGCTCTTATCAAAAACAGGATATCCCATCCTAATTTTTACAGCTACATGCATGTTGTTTATGTAGTCCAAAAAATTTAGATAAGATCCTTGTGAACTAATTGATCCTTTGAATAAGCTTATTCCTAAAGGTTATCAATTTAATGCAGTAGTAAAATATTGTTTTATTGGTACTAACATTGATTCTGTAATTTGTAAAGATAAAACTGAACCCTCAATTGGTGTTAGCAAATGGATGCGTATTTTAGAAATTCATGACAATCTTAGTATAAACCAATTATATATTTTCATGTTTTTCATTATTTAGAAGAGAATAAGTTAGAAATATACAGATGGAAACTTTTACAATTCATACTACGAACAAAACACTTATTATTTAAATGGAAACAGAAGAACGACGGTCTGTGTAATGTATGTAACAAAGAAGAAGATTATAGCCACTTCTTTATTTCTTGTCGATTTTTAGAAAATTTTTGGAAAAATATTCATGAATTAATGAGAAATTCAAATTTAGACTTTAGCGTATCGTTAAAGCAATACGTCTTTGGATATAATATTTTTGACAGAAATTATTTTGGTCTGAACTGTTTCCTAACAAATTTAGGCTTTACTATTTACAAATCATATTATATATCTGATTAGAAATTGAAAAATGTAAATGTTTATCAAATTTTGGTCAAGAATACATTAAAAGATATATCGAAAACAAAACAATGAAATTGAATCAATTACTGGAGTCACTCAAAAGAAATATGCAAAATGGAATTCATAAAAACATAATTCATAAAACATTTGTACAATTGTATTTCAAAAAATGTATACATATATATATATATGTAAATTATATGGCCTTCCAAATACCGTTTCGATTCCTAACAT